ATCAGTTCCCCCTCAAGATTGGCTCACCAATTCAATACTTCATTCAACATGTCTAACTATGATGAGGTACATGGGGTATTTATAGATACCAACTACCTCTAGATCTAATCTTACTAGGAAACTATTAAAACAATTAAATATTAAATCCTAAGGTAAGTAAATATCCTACTACCATAAATTCCTAAATCTACTAGATCTCCTAATATCTTGACTTGCTATCCAATTCCTTGCCTTGGACTCCAAACTATTCTAGAATACTCCAAGTCTTGCGCCCCAACTTCATTCGGCCGCCTCACTTCTCGCGCGCTATGCGCGCGCCGCCCGCGCCCTTCGCCTATGCCTACCGCGCATAGGCATGGCGCCCGTCCGTGTGCCACGTCTCGCGCGTCGCTGCCATGCTCGCCTAGTCCTTCGGTGACTAGGTCTCGCGCGCCTACTGCGCCACTCCTATTCCTTGTAAGATTATGCTTTGAGCCCATATCCACTATTCCTATTCCTACTAGGAATATGATCCCGGTTACGTTTCCTGATCTTCTGAGGATTACTCCCATCACCGATCTCCCACGCGCGTTCCGACACTCAACTGCTATTCCTGTTCCTGCGAGGATTAGTATTCGCATCTTGCCTATTCCTACAAGGATTAGGCATACCGCCTCGTTCCTGCATTGTGCCTCGCGCGTGTTGCCGTGTGCCCCGCGCTCGTCGTCCGGCACGCCCAATGCCCGCACATCGTTCATCGCTCTATGCGCGCCCGTCCCGCCTGCGCGTGCACGTCGTACCCTTGCCATGCCTAGTCCCGCGCGGACTAGGTCTCGTGCGTCTGCTGGCCACTTGCGTGCTACCGCGCGCACCCTGCTATCACTGGCCTCCTTGCGCGCGTGCTTACCGCTGCCCCTTACTCCTATGCCCGTGCGGTCTCGGACGCCCGTGTTATTTCCAGTCGCGCACCCAGCGCGCTTCGCGCCTATTCGGCCTATCGCCCGTGCGCACCTGCCTGTGCCCAGCGCCCGTGCGCGCTTACACGTACTTAGCGCCCGATACACACTCGTCCATTTGCCTCGCATACGAGCTCGCACCCGTCTCTTAGGCCATGCATGCGTCATTTTCGCCCTTTTTCCGGCCTCATCGGGTCGTCTCGCCTCTTGGATCTTCTTGTCGTTGGGGCTCGGAACCCACTTCCGCATCATTCCCCTCCTCTTCGAGACTATCCTTGTCC